TTTTAGGCAGAGCGATATTGCCTTTTCAGATGCTTCCCATGCATTTAATCCTCAGAAAAAAAAATCTGTGAGCTAGGTTTACCTTTTTGTAGAATGATTATACAAAGATTAGTAATTTTACCAAGGTCCCAAAACTGGCAAGTGGCTGGACCAGTTCTTTTTGACTCCAACACCTGTGCTTTAAACTACTATTCTATATTACTGCTCAGGATTAGAGATTGGAATTGGTATAAGCAGTTAGATGATTATAATAATCTAGGAAGAGACGGTTAAGTTCTAAGGAAGAGAGTATCATTTAAAATGAAGAAAAGAAGACAGAGCAGGAGAGAGATTGAAAATAGAAGGCTGTGCTTTCTAGTTTTATATATAATGTATGAGGGAGAGAAAAAGAATGTAAGACCTAGCCTTTCTGGCATGGAAACAGATGAAGTAGTGGTTCAGGAGGTGTACTTTTGGGGAATAAGATAATGAGTTTGAGGTTCCTGAGGGATACCCAGATTGATATATTAAACAGAAAACTGGAAATAAATATATGAAGCTGAGCAGAGTAGCCCATGAAGAAGGTAGAGATTTGGGGATTAGGAGCATAAAGGGAATAGTTGAAGCCAGGGGGGAATCTAGGTTATATAGAGAAGGAAGTAAAGTCAGAGTTATAGGATGTGGTTGCTCGGGAGAAAAGGAAGGGGTCAGAATATTAGATGTCTTGCTGTTGTCAAAGGACTTAGGTAATATACTAGTAAATTATTGTAAATAATTGAGAAAACTGGAAGAATAGGCAAATGTAGTCTCAGAAATACTATGGCTTAGATTCCATAGGTGGAATCAATTTCGCATGATAAAGTTTAGCAATGGGAGTGGTATGACAAGGTATGGTAAGGATTTTGGTTGTGGGAGTAGAAAAGGCTAGATTTTTACATGGGTTATCTACAGAGACATTTAAAATCAACCATGAAGAAGTAGGAATTTGAATTTACCATTACCCCAAAACTTAAGTCAAAAAGTTAGAATGACCGCAAATGATTGAAGCAACCTGGGAGGTGAGTGTGTGTGTGTGTGTAAATATATAGTGTGTATATATATTTATTTATACTTATATTTATATGTAGGTGGATAACAAGAACTTCAGAAAAGTAAAAAGTTTTTTTCATTGGAGGGGGAAAGTAATGGTCTAGAAGCCACAATAGTAGACTGGACTGCAGTTCAGACTGCATCTCTGTACTCAACAGAATATTGGATTTAGGAGGATATCATCCACTTTAAAGGAATGTCGTGGAAATAGTGTTCTCAGGGGGAAAGCCAGATTTTAAAGGAAGGAAGTAGGAGATAACCCTAAGAGCTTGAGAATGAAGAGGCGTTTCAAGTAAGGAGGATTCTCAAGAGTGTAGTGTAAAAGCCTTGGGAAGAGGGTCTTTGTAGAAAGTAAAACTTATGAGGGAAGAGGCATAGGCTCTTGTGGGGGAAATGACTATGAGGGGATAGTGACTAGAGAGTCTTGCATTCTTACCAAAGGCATAAGGTGGAGCAAATAAGAAATCTGGTCAAAATTGACTATCTTTGTGATTTAAACCTGGACCAGCTAAGGTTTTTCCATTAGTATTAGAAATTTGATAAAGTTAGCTGTCTTTGTCAGGGTTTAAATTATATGTTTCTGAGAGATTATTAAATTTTTATTGAAAAGCTCAAATGGGTTGTGAAAGTTAAGTTGCAGTGCACCTTCTCCTGGCTCAGTTTAATCTAGAGGAAGTGTGAATTTATCTGGAAATGAAAATGGTTTAATGCTTGTGTGGTTAGATGTAAATAACAAATCTTTTTTATTCCCTCAGTTTTTCTTGGCCACTTACTTGACATATTATATTCTATAGTCTTGGTTTCCTGCTTAGTTTCTGTGATGGGTACAGAAACACATTGATACCTTGAATACATTTGATAAATAAGAACAGACTTTTATTTGCTTTCATTGGCTGTTATTTTTTGAAGAGTTACACAAATGCAATGACTTGTCCTGTGATTTCTAAACCGATGATATCCCTTGCCTTGAGTTCATAAGACTAGTCTTCTCAAAAAGTTATTAAGGTCTTTATTAAACAAAGAAAAAAGATGCTTTTTCTGGTTCCATATAATGTGCCCGCTCCTTCACTCCTCAATCTCCAAAGCTGTAGTGGCATCTCAGTGGACTCTCATTTTCTTAAGTGTGTTCTACGTTTAGTAGCAGGTGTTCTTGTATTATCTATCCCCATAAATGACTTGAGGGCAGGGTGCATGTCAGATTCAGAATATTCCAGGTTTCTAGTAAGTTGTAAACTTAGGGAATTGGCCGCTTCAAATTATTTCCTCCTCAAACTGTTTTTTTCTCCATATCTCTGAGCCATGTAGACTTCCCTCAAAAGCTGCCAGTCCCTGACTCTGTGAGCAGCCATTTGATTTTTTTTTTTCCCCATATCTAACAGTAAATTTTCACTTTTCTTTCTGATTTCTTTTCCTCAAGTCTCATTTAGATTTTTTCCCCTTGAATTTCATCATACTCTCTTCTAAGAACTTCTGCCCTTTCTCTATTCTCTTCCTCACAGAGAGATTATTTACGGTAGTCTAGTCACTATTTATTTAGAGGTTGCATATACTTGAACTCTCACTTGCCTTACAACATGTAGAGATTTTTTTTCTTCCTTAGACTAGTTCAACTTGATAAACCCACAGTTAGGAGAAATTATTTTTGTAGTTGTGCTTCATTTGCTTCTTATCACCCTAATAACTGAATTTAGTACTTCATTAATTTAAACAGAGTGACAGTTTAAACATGACAATAAAAACCAAAACAAAGTTTAAGTAACTTTTAGATTTAGTGCAGGTGTTTTGCAGCAGTCTAATTTGCCATAATAGATGGTTTTTCAGGCAAGCTGTAGAGAAGTGGGGGTAATAGTACTACTCATGAAGTTACTTTTAATTCTGAGATTTGCAGTTTGTCCTAGAGAAATTGAGATTGCAGAAAAAACAAAACAACCCCCCCCCGAGATCAACCTTTAAGAAGAATAAAAGTATATGTATGATAAATCTTTAGATTTTGTTGGAAGATTGCTTTAGGTCACATATTGTTTCTTCCTAATGTCAGTTATTTTAATATAGAGTTTTGTGTGCTGAAAGGAAAGACCAAAACTTTTTCAATATAGAATTTAAGCTAATTGGGTAAGGGACTTTTTAATTTTTGTAATATTTATTTGGAAAGGATCATTTCAACTAGGATTTATATCTTTATTATTATTTTATTAGTTGCTGACCTTTCCCATTTTTCTAATGTGGCTAGGAGTAAGGCTGTGTTTACTATTTGTTATAGCTACAAGTGTCAGAGATTAATATTTCCTATACTGTCCTTGGTTTTTTCTCCCCTGTTGTCTTTGAGTTTTCCTAGAGGCTCCTTCTTATATAGTGCTTTACAGTTTTTCTATTGTATTGTAACTCCCATTGTAATGGTAATAATAATAGTTATTTATAAATCCCTGTTGATATGATGGTAAGGTTTGGGAGGAGGGGAAGCATGCTGAAGTACTATTAGTTCTCAGTCTTTGACCTTCACAAGTACATCTCAGCTTTTTGTTCACCTCCTTAGGTGAGACAGGAAGGCTAGATGAGGCTGGAGTTGGGTATTTCCATTCTCCCATGTCAGATAGGCTCTGGTAAAACCCACACTGGTTGATTTGGGTGAGCTCTGGAAAAGTAGTTTTCCTTGAGGACAGGCTGTTGCTGAGGAGAACAGAATGGGTGTATTTCAAAATGACTACTTTCCCCCTCACCATACCAGAAGCATGAGAAGATTTTTCTCCAGTCCTCACCCTGAGGTCCTTTTGGGGCTTCTGGAGGTAAAACTCATGAAAAAATGGTGTTCCCGCCAAGGCTGTGCCCCCAGGAGTTCTTGCTTTCAAGCTAGTTGACATTCAAGTTTCCAGCAATTAATCATTTAACCTTTAAGCTTTCCTGCCAGTTGGTGGTTGCAGCAGTAGTTTCAACTGCTAGCAGTGAGCTGTGATTCTCTGTATTTGCCTGTCTCTCCAGATTTCAGAGTGGCAATTGACCTTATGACCTCAATTTTCTGATGAAACTGAGACAAGTTTTTGATTTTCAGTTTAACTTTTTTCTTGTTATGAGGATAGAAACGATGACTTCCAAGCTCCTTACATGCTGGACTGGAAACTGAAAATTATATCTCCTCCCCATTTTGGATGCTTCCTTTGCTTTTAGTATACCAAGGTTCACATAGTAACCCAGTAGTAAATGGTTGTTGAGTTCATGTTCAGTGGTTCTCAGACTATTTCTTCCTGTGACTATAGTGATATTTCCTTTGGATACAAATTTCCAAAGGCTTGTAGTTCATCTCTGAGCTACTTTCATCTGCAGATAACTCACTAAGCTCTGGAGAAAGAGAGTGTGTGTGTACTTTAAAAGAGACTTAAAAGCAATTTTCAAAAATCAGTTTGCCATTCTAATTCCTTCTTTTGACTTTCTCTTTCTCTCTTAGACCTCTCCTATGAGTTTTAGAACCCATGTTTTAAGTGAGGATAATTTTATTCAGGAACATATTACATTTTGTCCCTTAATCTTTGGTATTGAAAGATGTAAATCCTATATGGTAATTTTTCTTACAGTGAGGTATATAAAACATAAAATTATACTTCACATGATTTCCATATAAGAATTTCAGGTTATAAAAAAATTATTGTCGTTCGATACATTCAACAAAGTCAACTGAATTAAATTCTCTCAAAAGTAGAACGTGTGACTTTGGTAGAAAAGAATGTCTTAAAATTTTGGCTGCTTTCCTCTTTGGGAAGTGATGCCAAATTTCTGTTGAAGAGTAACAGTTTAAATCTTATTGAATCTACTTTTACTTTGGTATTTCCGTATATTTATCTGCTATCTTATTAACATAAAGTATTTAGACAAAAATCTTTGTTTTTGTTATTTACTCTAGCATTTTCTTGTGCTTATTAACTTAAAGAATTTTCTTTCAGTCTCGTAGTGTGGATAAGCAACATGCTGTAATCAATTACGATGCCTCTACTGATGAACATCTGGTGAAAGATTTGGGCAGCCTAAATGGGGTAAGTTAAGAGTTTGCTTTTTGTCTTATTTGAATTTTTGTTTAATATTGTAAGAAAACATATATAACACAAAATCCTGTTTTGTGTTATATTTCCTTTTCTCTAGTTTGCATTTACTTTTAAATGCTTACTAGGTACATAGCACTTTGAGGACCATACAGTAGAATATGAATGTAGCCCATGTTCCCAAGAAATGATGTTGGTAGTAAATACTTAACAGGAATTCAGATGGTTGTTGGTTGTTATTATCCAGTGGTTAAAAAAAGACTTCTTTAAGGAGGTTAAGATGAAAGCTTGCCCTTACTGAATGGCTTGAATTTATATGTGACAAAGCCGTGGAAAGTCATGACAGTAAGAATGCAAAAAAGCACTCTTGGGAGTCAGAGAAGTGTGGGTTAACTTTGGAAAACAAAGATGCAAACGTGGTTTGGTACCAGATGGTTGGAGGATCTTCTATACTAGAGTAAAAAGGAGTGAAACACATCCATTTACCTTAACAAATGTGGTATATGATCTAAATACTAGTGTTTATTATTGCTTCTTTGGTTTCCTACATTGAAGATTTTTGTGTTACTGCAGTGAATTTTTTCCTAATTCTTCATTTGATCTTTCTACATTGGCAGAATGTAAGTAGCTGCAGAATAAGAGAATGCTAAAGTATTGAATAATTTATCTTATTTTTTCTCAATTTTCTCATGGCTCTGCTAACATAAGCAAACATAATTTTGTTCAGATCTGTGCTGTTGAATTTCTTAAAATGACTTTAACAGAAATTAAATGTATCCAAACTTCTTCTAACTGCTGCTTCTTTTCAAAATATACATTAAACGGAAAAACATCTGCAGAAATTCGGCAAATATGGTAAAACTTTTTTTTCTTGTCCTGAGTCGGCCTGCTACTGAAGGACTTTTATGTTTATTCACTGAGATACTTTTTTTGTAGGCCTGTTTTTATGTTAGTTTTATTCACACCTTTATTTGTTTCTCATGACACATAAAATTAAGTTTGTGGTACGCGGGCCTCTCACTGTTGTGACCTCTCCCGTTGCGGAGCACAGGCTCCAGATGTGCAGGCTCAGCGGCCATGGCTCACGGGCCCAGCCACTCCTCGGCATGTGGGATCTTACCAGACTGGGGCACGAACCCGTGTCTCCTGCATCAGCAGGTGGACTCTCAACCACTGCGCCACCAGGGAAGCCCTAAAACTCTCAACCACTGCGCCACCAGGGAAGCCCTAAAACTAAGTCTTAATTCCTCATGTTTGAATTGAAATACCTCACATTTGGCATCACCCACTTTTCCAGATTCATGCTCCATCACATTTTCCTTGCCATACCTCCAAAACAGTAGTTTTCCTACTATACTGTCTTCTTCTCCAAATAATTTGTTAGATTTTCTGCAGCCCAGTAGTTCTTCCATCTGCCTTGCCATTTGTAAAAGTTGTACTTACTTTTAAAAGTAAAATCCCAATTCTACATCTTCCTGAAGGGAGCAGAGAAAAGATATTTAAGAATATTGACTTATTAACATTTTGAATGGATTAAAGTAGAAAAAGATAGGCAGATGAGGTAGAAACTGTTTTACCATGGGCCATGTCAGGAAGCATTTCGATTCCAAGGTGCTATTTAAGGAGTTACTCTCTTCCTTCTCCGCACCTACAAAATTCTGTTTTAATCTCTGTTTTGGGTGCTTTATGAGCCTTGTATTAAATCTGCTTGTGCATATCTGTCACTGTGCTAGATTATGTGCTTCTGAACAGTTCATGTGCCTTTTGCTTCTGGTAAGTACACCACAGTGCCTACTAGCACAAGGTTCTGCACAGTGCATGAACCCAGTAAATCTTTTCGAATGGAATTGAATGAATTTTCTATATGAAAGACTTTATAGAGAAAAATTTTAATCCGCTTTTATATGTGGAATATTTTAACAATGTTATATTCTGTTTTTAAGCCTAGAATGTTTCGTCTTGACCACAGTGCTATTCTTAGGTGTCTTTACATTATATCTTGGAAAATAATAAGTGAGAATTACGTCACAGTGTTTTAGTCTTTTAAAACATTGTGATCAAATATAAAAATTATTGATGTTGGTTGTAAAAAATATCAGGTGAAATATTAACTTCTAAGTTTATGTAGGCTGACCTTTCTTATAATTTGATTGTACTCAGTAATTGCCTGAAATACAATAACTTACAGAGAGTGACATCTTCATTTTGAACTTGAAGTCAGGACCTAGATTTGAATCTCAGTCTGTAATTTACCAGCATTATAACCCTGGACAAATTACATAAACTCTCTGAAATTCGGTTTCCTCATATATATTCATATTAGTTCCCAAACTTGTGCAAAAATGTAATGAGTTGAAGGTTATGAATGTGAAGCCTCAATGCAAAATTTAGTTACCTGTCTTCAGCTTTAAAATAGTGAAATGATCATTCCTGCTCTGTAGTATTGTTATGAGGATTAAATGTGACAATACATGTGAGTATGTGCCTGGTACAGAACTTCAAAATATTACACAAATGGATAAATGCACTGTTACCCAAATGGATAGCCTAGGAAATATGCCAGAATGGACTTTGGTAGCCAAAGTCTGTGAACTACCAGCTATCATGCATTTTATTCATAGAAAATTTGTAGATTATTATTCACAGCCTGTTTATTCTTAACATTCATATAATTCTAGAAATTTGAGCATCAGGTTAAAAGTAGTAATTTCAGAAGGGGCACAGTATAGGTGGTTATGAGCCCAGCTTGAATTCTTACTAGTGAGGTAACTCTGGACAAGTTACTTAATTTTTCTGTTCCTCAGTTTTTTTAACAGAAATAGTAAAATGGTACTCCTCTCAGGTAGTTATAAATAAGTGAAGCTATAAATAAGTTAATAGTTTTAAACACCTAGTTCAGTAAGTGTTAGTTACTACTGTTGTTGTTATGGTAAGAAAAGCAGTTAAAACAAGTTTAGCATCCTGTAGCCTACATACTTTTCAGTGAATACATACAGTTAAATTATTTTGGAAAGCACTTATCAACTAAACTCAACTTATAAATAACTACCTGTGACCACTTCCACTCTCACTTCCTTTCACCCTACCCTAAAATACACTCCCAAGTTAACTAGGTCCACACTTGCTTTTATTACTACCAGAAATGAGGTTGTTCTGCTTGGGGAAGCTGGAACTGGTTCTGTAGCTGATGTGATAGTAGGCTATTTCCCTGCAAGCCCCTGGAAGCTTCTCTTTCTATGAGAGCCCTTGTTTGCCTTCAGTTCTTCCTGCCCCCTCCATGCACTGGAGTACCTGCACCTCTCTGATAGTCACCATTGACCTTTGCCGCAGCACTCCCATCCCATTCCACCTCACCTCCCTGTGTTCCAGCCCCTGCTGTGTCCCCTTTCACACTGGCGTTCCTGCAGCATCAGACCAGTATGGCATAGAAGGAGGAAGGTATGAAAGGAGTGGTTAGGGGAAGAAGACGAGACTTTTCTCACTGACAACATGATTGATGTAGTTGTGCTGCTGGCCACTCTATTCACATTTCCCAGAGCATTAATGCAGTACATGGTGGTTATATGATTTTATACTGTCAATTATGTGATTTATTTGTATGTAAATTAAATAGATATTTATCTGGTTTGGTTTGCTTCTCTGAGGTTAGTGGTTTGGTTGAGGGAGTTTGGGGAGCTGGCTTGGCCTGGCTTGGGCATCCAAGCTTCCTTGATGTGCAGAGAATGTGGGGTTTGTAGTTCAGAGAGCTGAATTTGAATCCCAGTAATTCTGCTTCTCAACTCTGAGAGCTTGATTGTTACTTTGCACCCTGTGCCTCATTGTCCTCACCTGTCCTACCTATCAGGTAGAGGTGTGATCAAATGATGTTGACATAAGAAACAAAACCTATTTTTCTTTCCATATCTAATTTATTAAAATGCTTCATAATTGATTTATTTAAATGATTTTTTTCCTGTAGCCCTTTGAAATTTTCTCTCCTTTTATAATTTTCGACCGTCAGGAGACTTTTTGCTCCCAAGTGTTTTCACTTAACATTTTGCGAGCTGAAACTTCGTGTCTGGCTCATATTTCCTGAGCCTTTTTAGACCTTAGGGAATATTTCTGTCATAAATGCCAGCAGGTTAAAATTATGTGTCTCTTAATCTCTGAAAGTACCTAGTACATATGTTAAAAACAGTAGGTGCTTAACATTTAAGAGAGTCAAGCAATAAGCTTTGAGTGAATCTTAGAGCTCATCTTAGGCCTTTTGAGTAATTATGGTATTTTAGGTTGAGATAGTTTTAAATAAATTGGCTTAGAACTGTGGCATCTCTCTTATACCATGTACCTAATTATTTATCTTCTGCATACCAAACATCAGTTAATTAACATTTTTTTATTCTTCTCTTTTCCATCATTTTCCTCAGCTTTTCTCTTTTGTAATTAATATAGAATATTTTGGTAAACTCAAGATATGTCTTAAAACACTCTAAAAATGTTCGTTTGGAAATGAACCTGAAATTAGAGTTTATAAATGCCTGAAGCCTTTGAATTTTCTTTGTATTAACATTTCAGTCTTTCTGTGAAGCATGTAAGAAACTTGTTATTTAGGATTACTCATAAATCATACTAATGTGTGATCTTGAGTTTTAGCAGCATTCTGCTGTCTCCTTATATCTGAAATAAGATTGCAGCTTCTAATTTTTTTGTTTGTTTTTGATAGATTTAGAAACTGGTATTCTATGACATATTACAAAGTGCTAGCTGTGCAAAGGAATTTGAGAATATGATCATAATAACCCAATCCCCTTATATATTTTACTGTATAACATTCAGGACCCTTCTAAATTTCCTCATTATGGAGGGAACATTCCCAAGTAAGGTATCGTGGCCATCTCAAATCCAATAACATAATAGATGGGAAAAAATGAAATTTAAAAGGGAAGAGTAAAGTAATTTTTAAAGTTGCAACTTATCAAAGAAAAACATATTGGGTATTTATATGATGTTCGCATTCCAGGCAATTAAGTATAACATTGTTCTATGTTTTATAAATCTAGATAATTCTAGGTCTTTTAACTTCTAGTATGCCAGGAAAAATAGTCATCACCATTAACCATCTGTGTCCAATGGACCTCTTAAGTCTTTTTACAAATAGTTTACACAAGTAAGAATTAAAAGATGAGAGAACAACTTGAAATTTTAATAAAAATGAGGCATGACAGACTCAAATTTTTATTCCATGTTTTCCTGGTTTTGAAAGGTACATAACATGCAAAATGGGTATTGTTCTTTGAATGCCACTAACTGTTCATTAGCTGTCATGCCTTCTCTGGGATATATATCTATTTTATAAATGTTGATTTCAGATTTCAAGGACATCTCTAGCTAGTTCTAGCTTACCATTATTTCTAGTTTTTCTTGCTCTTGCATTATCAAAATGCATTATTTTTAAGACTTTGACATTTTAAAATTTTAAGAGGAAAGTCATCTTCTTTTTCTTCCATAATTGTAAAACAGTACAACAGTTACAAGATCAATTCAATAATTTTATTTCTACGTCATCTCTTTCCTTCTAGTTACCTTTGTATAGATACCCGCCTTGATCATTTGTCCACTTACATAGTAAATCAAATGAGTATTGAAACACAAACACTAAAAAATGAGAGAAAACTGTCAAAATTTCTTTTAAAATACAGAATTATCAGTTTTGTGTTAAAAAATATTGCATGATTCTTCTTATTGATTTAGGCTAACTGGATGAAAAATATCTTAGTTTCTTTTTGACTTTGGAAACATTCTTCTCTTATCAATTCTTGTGTTAGGGAAAATTCATCTAGGGTTATCTTCACCTGAAGACTCCTGGTCTGATATTTTGCTTACGTTATTATCATTTTATCATTGTTATTATAGTCTAGAGTGCTGCTGCTCTACTTTTTGTATTTACCTTATGATTGTGAAATATCTTCCTGTCTTTTTTTTTTTTTTTGCCTTTATGGATGTTAAATAAAAAATCCTGAATTCTCAATTGTGCTCTTTGATAGCTTAAAAAAAAAAAGACACAGATGGTGTCTCCAGATGTCTTTTATATCTTCTTGGGAAGATGGTGCAATATTTTGGGCCATGCAGTAAGAAACCTAAAGGTTGATGCAATAGTAATGATTTATTTCACAATTGCATCATCCATCTAGCTCTGTGCTATTTGCTGCACTAGCCACTAGCCATGTGTGTCTGTTGAGCACTTGAAATGTGACTAGTCTAAAAATAAAAAGGTAAAAAAAAAAAGAATGTAAAATGTCTTCTTAATTTTCATATTCATTATTTGTTAAAATAGTACTATTTGGGATGTGTGGGTTAAATTAAAAGTATATTATCAAAATTAATTTCACCTCTTTCATTTTGCCTTTTTAATGTGCCTACTAGAAAATTTAGTAGTATATGTGTAGCTTCCGTTTGTGGCTTGCAGTGTTTCTGTTGAATAGTGATGTTCTAGGTAATTCCATTCTTCTGTTATTATTTTGGTCATTTTCAACAAAGTTAGAAGTAATTGATAAGTTCAAATACTTACGGGATGATGGCGATGAAACAATGTTTCAACATACAGAAAAAATAATGTATCTATAACGTATCTTAGATTCATGTAAGGGTCCTATAAAGTATCTTAAATTCATAAAAGGGTACAAAGGACTCGTTGGCAATTGTAAAATAGAATGAGTTTTATTCAGTTTTTTTAAGTAAATTTTCTTTTTGTTCTTTGGAAGACTTCTAGGAATAAAAATAATGAAACCTCAATCCTCACAGATAATTACAGTTGTCCAGAAAAGTTAAAATTGAGTCCAGTGGGCCCTGATGGTATATCGAGAGCTATATTATATTTTACCCTTTACAATTTCTAGCTTCGGGTCAGAGCTTTTCTTGACGTCATTTTTAGGTGCCTAAATTTGTCGTAGCAGCATAGTAGACTCAGAGGAACCGCACCCTGGTTCTTTGTGTGTTACTTGTAATAGTAATAAAGGGCTTAGTATGAAATCATTTATTAGCCTATAAGATGCAGAGCGCATTTTATGGTGATACACAAGCTGTATTAGCCACCATTTGATATACACTGTAAAGCATAAGGTTTGAGTATTTGCTTGTCTAAATTTTAATAATTAATACTTCATATATTAACATCTTTTTTTTTCTTTTGTAGACTTTTGTGAATGACGTAAGAATTCCAGAACAAACTTATATCACCTTGAAACTTGAAGATAAATTGAGATTTGGTTATGATATCCTTACTGATTTTGTGCATTTATTAAATTTATTCAAAAATCTTTACTCTGGTATAAATTAACATTTCTTGAGACATAAGAATTCATAATATAGGCATGCTGGAAGTCTCTGTGCCCTTCCAAACTAAAATACATGTTTAAAAATAATACTTTTTTTTTTTTTTTTGGTTATAATGCCTGTTCCTAAAAATAATCCTGGAAAAGTTAATGGACTCCTTTTTTTTCTCCTCACTCTGTATTATAGTTTCAGCAGAAGTATCCCTGCAGTGCTATTACATATGTAGTTTGGGTATCAAAGAATGTAACTGGGGAGAGGACAGAGAGTGTGTAATAGTAGCCCAGCCCAGGGATTTTTTTTTTCCCGGTTAAATGATAATGACACAGGTCAGCCTCCAGGAGGAATGTAAAGAATTTAACCCTATCTTTCCTTCTGTCCCCACTTTTACTCCATTTTATGCATTCCATCTCAGTTGCCTTCAATTCAAATTTTTCCATATCCTGTGTCTTCTGAGACCCACACTCCCTGATTAAGTACATTATGCATTTAGCATGTATTTAAAATTCTTTTGTTTGAAAATAGGATGCTAAGAACTGAATAAGGATATGATGGTGTTCTCCTAGTAAAGAATCACTAGTGAAGAGAAGGGACATGATTGGATGAAGAAGAATGAAAGCATTTCTATTCATACAAGGCAAAAAGCTTTGTAAAAAGAACTTGTTTATATTTAATTAAAATACAGATATTACACATTATGCTGAATGGTTTTTTTTCACTTTTAATTTTTTCATTTATGGCATTTATCTGGACTTTGATATTAAGGAATGTATCAAATGTACTGGCAACTTGGATATACTTTTATCACTGTAGTAGAGAAAATGTCTCAGCTAAGTAGAGCTGATACTTAGGTAAAGTAAATGTACTGATACTTTAAAATTGTTCCTAGAGCATAACTAGTTTTTATTTTAGATTTAACTTAAAATTTATGAAAAAAATAGTTTTGTAGCACATCATATAGCCTTTATACTTGTAGAGCCAAAGCAGCATGTGAAAAGTGAAACCATTAAACATTAATACCTTTAATTTGTATATTTTAAATCCTTTAAAAAATATGTATCATGTAAAATGATTAGGAATTAGCATTAAAGCCTTGATTCATGGGTTATTTCTACCAACATAAGTTTCATCAAAAAGTAAATACAGGTATATTTTAAATTTAAGTAACTCAATTCATTTGACATCAGCTGTTTCAAAACATGAGAAAATAGTAGGAAATTTGGGTTTCAGTAAAACTCTATAAAGTTTACTTTGAATTTTAAATCAAGAAGAAGCTATTGAGAAGCAACTCATCTTCTATAGATTGTATAATGATTTCTTAATAGAGAACTAATATTTTCTTATATACTTGCTCACAATATTTCTGTCGAAAATTCCTGGGACAAATGTTTTGTTCCCAAGGACTTTTTCAGGGCTGTAAATCAGTGTTGAGCCAGAACGACTACCCAGATCCTCAGGTTAGGCTCAGTTGATTTCATTATTTAAAAATAGCATCTCATATTGCTTTTGATTTTTGAGGATTGTGTATAAATGAACATTGGGCTGTTTCAGTGGCAGAAATTTTATTAGATAGGATGAACTTTTAAAAACAAATTTATTTGTTCTGATACCAGACTGAAGTCACTATCATGCTTTATTCATAATTAAAATTAAGTTTAATAGTTAGCTAGTCTACAAACTGTTACACCTTGTAGTTGAAAACTGTTTAATTGAAATGCCACAGCAATAGAAAGAACATTTTACCATGAATTGAGACTGGAACTAAGAAACAGAATTTATCTGCCCAAAGTTCTTTTTTCTAACAAGAGAAATTGATTTGGAAAAGCAAGTAGTGAAATATCCAAGTTTAAGAAATGACTATAAACTCAGGAGGTATAGTAAAATGCTGCAGTAATCAAGATAAACTTCAGAAGGAGGTAATATATCTCCAGATAGCCAGAGATGTAGCAGGTAAGCAAGCCTAAGTTCATTTATTTTACAATTATTTATTAAATGTCTCCCACGTGCCAGGCATAGTCCCTGCAGTCTGGGGTACAGTACTAAATAAAACAGACCACAGTTTCTGTCCTGGAGCTTATACTTTAATGGGGTTGGAGGGAACTGACAGCACGCACAAAAAGGATAATAGAGGGCGATAAATTCTGTGGAGAAAAAGTGTGAATGGGAGACAGAGAGCTACTGCTGGTGAGTGAGAAGTTATAATTTTAAAAAGGCTGGGCTTCCCTGGTGGCGCAGTGGTTGAGTCCGCCTGCCAATGCAGGGGACACGAGTTCGTGCCCCGGTCCAGGAAGATCCCACATGCCGCGGAGCGGCTAGGCCCGTGAGCCATGGCCGTTGAGCCTGCGCGTCCAGAGCCTGTGCTCCGCAACAGGAGAGGCCACAACAGTGAGAGGCCCGCGTACCGCAAAAAAATAAATAAATAAAAATAAAAAGGCTATTCATGAAGACTTCACTAAGAAGCCAGCAATGGAGCAGGTAAGGACGCTGGCCTTATGGATCTATCCGGGGAAACTGCTCTTCAAGCAGATAGAAGAGTTAAGTGCAAGACTTAAACCAGGAGCATGTTTGCCATATATGAGGAACAGCCTTAGAAGTCAGTGTGGCTGGAGCCAGTGAAGAGTAGGAGAATATGGGGAGCCAGAGTGTATCACCCTAAATAGGCCACTATAAGAATTTTGGTTTTTATTTTAAGTGAAATGGGGAGCCATTAGAGGGTTTGATCAAAGGAGTGATGTGATAATGACTTACATGTTTAAAAGAATCCTCTGGTTAGTCTTTTTCAAAGACTAAGGGGTTAAGTGGGCAGCAGTGAAAAGAGGGAGACCAGTTAGGAGGCTGTTACAGTAGTTGGCAGTAGTTCCAAGTGAGCAATAATGGAGGTTTGGACCAGGGTGACAGAAGCAGAGGTAGTGAGAAATGATAGAATTCTGTACATATGTTGAAGATGGAGCCAGTAATATTCTTGATTAGATTGGATGTAGACTAAGAGAAAAGAGTCAAGGATAAACCCAAGACTGTACAGTTGATTTAAACAATTAGAAAAGTGGAGTCACCATTAACTGACAGCATATCCTGTGGGTAGAGCAGATATTGTGGAGAAAATGGGAAGAATATTCCCCCAAATCCATTTAAATTTGGTTTAATTGAATTTGGTTTAATCGAATTTTGCTGTTACTGTTTTCTTTTTGATTTCTGCTGTCTTTATTAATTTCTTCTAGGTGAAAGCTGAGATAATTCAAGATCTTTCTTTTCTAATATAGGCATTTAGTGCTATAAAATTTCCCCTAAGTACAGGCATACCTTGGAGATATTATGGTTTCAGTTGCAGAGCCCTGCAATATTGCAAAAAGCCAGTCACACAAATTTTTTGGTTTCTCAATGAGTATGAAAGTTATGTTTGTGGACAACATTGGAGTCTATTAAGTGTGCAATAGCATTATGTCTAAAAAATTTGTATATACCTTAATTTAAAAATACTTTATTGCTAAAAAATGTTAACTATCATCTGAGCCTTCAGCGAGTCCTGATCTTTTTACTGGTGCAGGGTCTTGTCTCAGTGTTGACGGCTGCTGACTGATCAGGGTGGTGGCGGCTGAAGGTTGGGGTGGCTGTGGCCATTTCTTAGAATAAGACAACAGTGAAGTTTGTCACATCGATTGACTCTTCCCTTCAAGAACAATTTTTCTGTAGTACACAATGCTGTTTCATAGCATTTTCTCCACAGTAGAACGTCTTTCAAAATTGGAGTCAGTCCTCTCAAATCCTGTTGCTGCTTTATCAACTGAATTTATGCATTATTCTGAATACTTTGTTGTCATTTCAAAATCTTCACAGCATCTTCATGAGGAGGAGTTTCCATCTCAAGAAACCATTTTCTGGGACTTCATTGGTGGTCCAGTGGTTAAGACTCTGCACTTGCAGTGCAGAGGGCGCAGGTTCGATCCCTGGTCAGGGAAGTTCCGCATGCCGAACGGTGCAGCCAGAAAACAAACAAAAACAAACCACTTTCTTTGCTCCTTCATAGGAAGCAACTCCTCATGCGTTCAAGTTTTATCATGAGATTGCAGCAATTCACTCACATCTTAAGGCTCCACTTCTAAATTCTAGTATTCTTGCTGTTTCCACCACATCTGCAGTTACTTGTTGCACTGAAGTCTTGAACCGCTCAAAGTCACGCATGGGGGTTGGAATCAACTTCTTCCAAACTCCTGTTAATGTTGATATTTTAATCTCTTCCCATGAATCATGAATGTTCTTAACGGCATCTGGAATGGTGAGTCTTTTCCAGAAGGTTTTCAATTGACTTTTCCCAGATCCATCAGAGGAATCACTGTATATGGCAGCTTTGTGAAATGTATTTATTCAATAATAAGACTTGAAAGTTGAAATAGCTCCTTGATACATGGGCTGCAGAATGGATGTTGTTAGCAGGCATGAAAACAACGTTAATCTTGTACATCTCCATCAGAGCTCTTCCGTGGCCCGGTGCCTTGTCATGGAGTAGAAATATTTTGAAAGGAATCTTTTTCTGAGCATTAGGTCTCAAACAGTAGGCTTAAAATATTCATTAAATCATGTTGTAAACAGATGTGCTGTCATCCAGGCTTTATTGTTCCACTGACAGAACACAGACAGAGTAGATTTAGCATAATTCTTAAGGGCCCTAGGATTTTCAGAATGGTAAGTAAGCATTGGCTTCAACTTAAAGTCACCAGCTGCGTTAGCCCCTAACAAGAGAGTCATCTTGCCCTTTTAAGCTTTGAAGCCAAGGCATTGACTTCTTCTCTCTAGCTATGAAAGTCCTAGAGGGCATCTTCTTCCAAAGAAGACTGTTTTGTCTACATTGAAAATCTGTTGTTTATTTTAGTCACCTTCATTATAATTCTTAGCTAGATCTTCTGGATAACTCGCTGTAGCTTCTACATCAGCACTTGCTGCTTCA